CGCACCGCCCTCCATCTCCCCTCGAAAACGGGGGGCTGGGGATCAGCCACAGCACCAGCTTCCCCCCCCTCAGACCTGCAACTGTGCCTCCTCCCACTGCGCCAAAACCACAGAAGACGATCTTGAGGAAATCAACCACTACCACAGTGTGATGTATGCCATTTAAAAACACTTTCTGTTTCCTTCTCGTTTTTATATTATAAACGTAATCAGTAATGAGCACTTTCTACTCGAGCAATAAAAAGCCCAAATATATTAATCCTGCATTCAGCCAAGTGGCATAAAAATCACCTGGTAAGTAAGCAGTGCATTGTTTATATCCTGGGTATACACTGTTTAAAAAGCCGCATCATCGAAAACCACAGAATAATGAAAAAGCTGAATATAGTGGGTGGTTTTTTTTCAGTTGACCTGTGACAGGGACCTGCACTTTCAAATCGTTTGATTTACTCTAAGAGGTGGGGTTGGGTTCATTTTATTTGTGCCTAACTGGTCTATATATTAATAACATATCATACTATTAACTTTGACCTAATGCTTTTTAATAAGACATTTTAATACTGAAGGACCATTTTATTATTTTTTCTAAAGATGTTTGTCGCTAGTTTTGCATTACTGAATGCTGAGGACAATACCTAAAAGTTTATTTTCTATACAATTATAATTATATGTTTAGTTATATGGATAATGAAAGATTTTGGTGTGTGGAAATACCACATGTCAATAGGCAGTTGAAAATGGCAAAACCAAATGTTCCTTAGAATAAAAATGAAGCCGTGCTGCATTCAATGCCGTGTTAATATTCATCGAAGGGGGTTGTAACGCCGACAGAGTTTGGGGAAGATCACCGTGAATGTATATGAGATTTTTCTAAGTTAACTATCATAATCATCAGGACATAAATAGAACTTTACACTTTTTCATATGATGTATTTCGGCACCTCAAGGACCGTCTGTTGAATGCCTCCTACACTGCCAACCCCTTGGACCCTCCTCACCTCAGCATCCCTCCAGGACACACCGTGATCCCCCGCCCGGCAGCGGTGGGATGGCCTGCCTCCTGCACCTGCAAGCCCTCTGCCTGCCAAGGGAACCCCTTTATAGGAGAGTCAGAGGGAAAATAAAGATGCTTCTGGAACAGGATATTTTTAGCATTAGCCTTAAGCTGATTCCCCAAAGATTTGAAATATGCAGGAGTCTTTGTTCTTCTATAGAAGGAAGAGAGGAAATCCTTTCCTTGTAACAGCCAATAAAGATTCTTTTTTTCAGTATAATTTGCCAGCTCAGGTCGCTTACTCTCCCAAGGACCAAGTTTATTTCCCAACTACCATGATTTGGACTTATTGGATATTTTGCCCTGGAACTAGAAATGAGTGTTTCTCCCCTAAGATCACAGTGACAGGTGCACACCTGGACAATATTTGTCCATTAAGTGACAAGAGTAGAGGGAGTCATCTTTGGTGAAAATTTGTTTATTGTACAACTTAACAAAGAGTTCTGTAAATTTTTAACTATTTGGCTTTTGATCTTTAAACTTTAATTTTTGTTGCTACAGGGAGGTAGTATTCAGTCATATTTCTTTGTTGCCTTTTTCAAGCTATATCATGGTAATTTGGAATACTACTTTTAAATCACTTACTGTTAAAAGATGACAGTATATTTTAGGCAGGATGACAGAAAGAGAATAGGCTTCAGTTTTTAAAGGAACAAATGAGTAAAAACAAAGAGGACATCATGTTAAAAATTTACTCAATGATTTTTGTGCTGTGTTTGTTGGACATGAAGGTAATGTAAGCAAAATATATCTAATTTTTCAGAAAGTTAAAAAACATGAGATCAATAATCAAGAAAGACCATCATCAAAATTTATTAATTGTGCCCTAGCCAGTTTGGCTCAGCAGTTAGAGCGTCTGCCCACAGACTGAAGTGTCTCGGGTTGGATTCCGGTCAAGGGCACTTATCTTGGTTGCAGGGCCCATCTCAGGCCCTGGCCTGGGGGGTGTGGGAGGCAACCAATCGATGAATCTCTCTCACATCGATGTTTGTCTCTCTCTCCCTTCTACTCTCTCTGAAAAGCAATGGAAAAAAATATCCTCAGGTGAAGATTAAAAAAAAAAGAAAAAAAATTATTAATTGTATGATCAGTATGTTTAATAAATATGAGTGAGGTAAATAAATAATTGATTTATTGAATACCAAAATAGTATGCTTTTAATTTTTTAATGCATCTGTTTAGTTTGATATAAATAAACCCAGGCTTTCATTATCTTTCTAGATTTAAATAATTACTTGCTTTCAAATGTTCATCCAGTGTTATTAGATCTTTTGGTATTACAAACAACCTTAGAAGACATGCAGTTTTATCCCTTCAGCTCATCTTTCTGCCATAGCCTGTTACTGTGACCCAATAATTACCATATAACTTAAGATATTGACCCCCTGTCAATATCTGGGAACCAATATGGGTCTCAAAGTAGAGCAGCCACAAATCATCCACAGAGTGGATAACTTATTTGCAATAAAGCAAGTTGAATAAGTTGAATAATTGAAGCTGTTTGAATGTGGATACTGAGCCAAATGCATAAACATGACCTCTGAGGTTTAAATCCATCTCTCTGCCTCAGAGTGTTTTCAGAGCTATCCAATGAAAGACCATGTTTTTAAATATGATTAGTGGCCTGTGCCCAAACTATAATACCTGTTTTTATTGAACACATTTATAAGTCACTATTGGCCTAAGAAGCTGAGTTAAATCCCAACCTAAAAAAAAGTTATAGTTATTAACCTTCTTCTCTTATTATAGTTAATTATATAATCAGGATTACGTATTAGATTATGGCAGTGTTGGGACTTTCTTTTGACTTTATGTTACTTTTTTCCCATAAGTGCATGGAATGTATTGGGCCAATAAGGGTTTTTCATTTGTTTGTTCTTGCCCCAACTGATGATTTGGTAACATTCACTGAAATTTAGTTATGTCTTAATGTGTGTGTGTGTGTGTGTGTGTGTGTGTATTTGTAAAAATAGAAAGCAATTAACACAGAGCATCATAATATTTGTCTGGAATCTTGTGATTAAAGTGTTGTTAGTGACTGCCATTTTTATTATCAACCAACATTGCTTTCAAAATTTAAATTCTGAACTGCAAGCTCTATGAATCATCCATTAAATTATCATAACACATGGTACATATTTCCTGTTCTTGAAGATGCCAAAGTAGAAATGCTTTCCTCAAATCATTAAGGGAAGGTTTCTGGGTTTTTTTTTGTTTTTTCACAATATGCATTTGACACTTTCAATCACATATAAAGTAGTATACACAGAGCTAGCCTCCATACTTCTTTGAAAGTAATGTTTCTACAAAATGAAAAATGGTAGCCAGGCTGGCGTGGCTCAGCTGTTGAGCATCGACCTAGGATCCAGGAGATTGCGGTTCGATTCCAGTCAGGGCACATGCCTGGATTGCGGGCTCGATCCCAGTAGGGGGCGAGCAGGAGGCAGCCGAGCAATGATGACTCTCTCATCATTGATGTTTCTCTCTCCCTCTCTCCCTCTCCCTCTCCATTCCTCTCTCTGAGATCAATAAAGATATATTTTTTAAAAAATGTAAAATGGTAATACTGTTTATGACAACATCCATTCTTAATGAAAGGCAGAACATATACTTTTTAAAATGTAGTATTCATTAATTAAATTGGAATAGGAAATATTTTGTCTTGTTAATTTAAACAAAGATTGTCCCACTTTTGTGATGAGAGATTGTTGTATTCCTCTTGATGAAAAGCAAAAAGAAAATAAAAATTGACCAAAGTTGTCCTTAATCTCCCAGTAGTTATAGCAGTTTAAAAAAGGAAATAAAACTGACATTTTTAGATCATGCTTAAGTTAAATATAAAATATCTGCTCAAAAATACAGACAAAAAGAAAAATTTCCCCTTTTTCTCATTTGATATTATTATATTCATACCTCCCCTCATTAGTTTAATAATATTCTAGAAAAAAATGGGCCTGCTATTAACTGAAGTGGTTTCATTAACATAAAAAACTTGTGTTTGAATTATGCCTGCATCTAATTATTTAATGGATAAAGGAATAAGGCACTGTATTACATGGCTTTGTGTGTGTTTTTGAGAGATCAGTAGTTGAATTGCTTTTAGCATAACCAAGAGCGGCAGCTACACACAGTCTGAAACTATGCAAGACCTTTTATCTACAGGCTCTAATTATAGCTCTTTGTGGATCCTCCGTGAAGAAAAGCCTGAGTAGCTCCACATGTAATTGCAGCAGGAATGGTGTAATCAAGTCATGAATCACTGCTTTGACCAGATTGTTTTCCAGGGGATATATGCAAAAAATGCAATGTCAAATCTTGTAATTGTCCTGTTTCAGTTTCTTTCACCCGACTCTGTTATTAGTACATCTTGCTATAATATGCTCTCAAATTTGTAGCAAAAGGTTGCATCATAATATACTTTAGTACATATTGCTGATTTCTAAGTGAGGGGGTGATTAATGAGCAACAAAATTCATATCACATAATTAGGTAACGTGCACAGGCTCTGACCATTAATAGGCACGATCAGAAAATCATGATGTTTTCTGGGTCAATTTGACACTGTATTTGAATTTCAGACTAAATATTTTGGAGTTTTAGAATCGTTCAAGTTAACATGATTCTGAAAGAATGACAGATGTGATGCCACCGCGAGGGCATACAGCCAGTGTTGAACATAAAACCGCAGTTAGCCGTGTCTTGGTGGAACTGCAATTATGTAGGCTGTCATTTCGTTGGGAGCTCTTGGATTTATCATTCTGGTCTTTTGGGGAAAAGCTAGAATGGAACATAAAGAAGATTTGAAAGTAAACCTCGCTTTAAAATGTAGGCAAATCAACAAAGGGTATAGAATTGGTTGAAGGCCAAGGTAAAATAAGGAGGACATATTGCTTATAATTTATACCTTCTAGAGTGATCAAAGATAGGTAAGCTAATATTAACTGCTTTATAAAGCTTTACATACCTTAGAGATTCTCGAAGTCTCATATGAATATATAAAATAATTATTATCCTTATTTACAAGTGAAGAAATCTAGGAGCTCGGTTTCAGTATTTTACTAAAATCAACTCTTCGGTAAGTGACTTGGTTGGTATTTTAGTGGCAGCCTGACTTCCCATAATTTCCCCCCCACAACATCACCATTTAATTGTGTTCTTCCCAGCCCTGAACTTCACAAATTTTTCCTTTATTCTTAGCAGTTATTTTGACGCTTGAAAGGGGTTACCTAATGTTGTTTTG